TACGAAGCTCCCACCGAATTGTGTATGTACCAGAGGTGCGAGTATTATAATAGAGCTTCAAGTTATGGACGTGAATTAAACCTAGGTGGAAGGGAGGTTATGAAAGAGATAGAAGATATGATACGAGATTTTAAGGTAAGTAAGGTAAAGGTGAATAATGTATGAGATACTCAAAGGCAGAAGATTGTGAATAGTCCATACTTCGGATAGAAGGCTATAAGCACGAGGATCCAATAACTGGGAATGATAGCGGCATCGTCGACGGCATGTCTTCTAGCTTATGGTTTCTAAGTATTGAGAGATCTAGTTAAGAGAATAAAGAAAAGTTGGAGATGATGTGATGTCTCGCTTGACATTCCAGAATAACATAAGGAAATCTATGGTGCACGCAAGTTGAAGGAAAGTTGTGAATAGTATAAATGGATATGTATAGGTCGCAAGCTAAAGTATGGTAGAGCGACAAAGTTTTATGAAAACATGAGTAAGAATGAGGAAAGACAAGTGAAAAGGTGCCGAGAATGGATAAGTACTTAGGATTAAGTCCATAAAAACAAGAGAGATAATGGTTTCTCTAAGTTATTGAAAGTTCAGTATAGCCTGAATGAACTCAAAGGAGTCTAAGATTAATAGCATTTAGAAGAAATGAAATGTTGACCCGGTAATAAAATGAGGGTATAATTGTGACAGATAAAGGATGACATTTGGACCTTTCGATTGAGTAATCATCTAACAAAGAAAAGAAAGGGATCTCATGAATTGGATATGATTAAAATACCCATACAAGGTGAATCACATTGGAATGCTATAAAGTACGGTTATGGAAGTATAGTATCACCCCTAGGTGAATCAATCTAATTACTCCAGATGCCCCAATGAGACGCGAACCCTAAAGACGGTGTTTCATAAGAGATCAAGTTATCAGTAGTAGATGATGGATAAATATTAAGGTGAATCAACAATAGATGGATAAAAGTTCAACAGTATGAGATGAGATTAGACCATCAGTCTTAAGGATAAGCAACGAGAGCAACCTGAAGTTGGTTGCAGACCTCAATAATGATAAATCAAAGTAAGATTTATGGCATAGTATGACCTATGTAGATGCAGTAAAGTCATACGAAAGGATAACCCGGTCTATGAAATAAAATATAGCCATATTCGCAAGTTTTACAAAGTATCGAGTGAAGAATTTCAGTACACCTATAGATGCCCAGAGAGGCATCTTATTAAGCCTTATATATGTTTACAAAGTACAGCCTAAACATTGGTTAAAAGCTAAAGGAAAAAGGAGAGAAGAGTCGCATAGTCACAGGGTCAGTATCGTAAAGGATGCATGATAGAAAGTAGCAAGAGTTACGAGATTAGAAGAATTCCGGCCACAGTCCGTTGTGTGAAAAAGAGATATATATGTAGGAATACTCTGGACTTTGGATTTAATCAGAGAACAGTTGTCAGAATGGAAAGAAGAATATTAGAATATCTGTAAAAACTATGGGTTAGGGGAATCATAAATGCATTAGTCAACATTCGAGGACGAATGTTCTAGGGGAGGGGGGGGGGGNTGGAAGCTCGGGGATGAAATATTATATCCCGTATTTTTGGGTGTTATGATTTCGTTGTAAAGTTAATCAACGCAAAATCGAGAATGAGATTATTTGAGGTTACAAGTATTATGCTATTTCAAACAAGGGATAAGTAAGTTCGTGAAGGTGAGAGGGTAAGCAAATCGAAGAAAGTGAGTTTCGTCGAAATTTGTCATTTTGGGATAAAAATACGGCCCGAGCTAAAATACCCGGTATTTATGGACTAGTAAAATACAAAATACCACATGACCATAATAGTAAGATATATACAATGTATTAAAAAAAGTATAATTTTAAGTAATTTGAATTTTTTTAATTATATGAGTAATTGGTTAATTACCATGTAACGAGACATTACCTAGTTAATTAATAAATTTAGTGAATAATCATTAAAATTCCCCCCAACCCAAACGTGGCAAGCTTCCTAAGACCCCTAGATGACTAATATGAAAATTGGAAAGGTGTCACACCTTAAGGTGACACCTAAAGACCATAATCTCCAAAATTTAGAATTCATTCCCTACACACCTCTTTCCAATCTCATCTCTTTATTACACTGCCATTCAAGATTAGATATATTTAAAGTTTGTGATAAATAAGAATTTGTGGATAAAAGATGATGAGCTATTTATACATACACGGTCCGTAATGATTTGCCAAAAAATGATCGCAATTTTATGAATATCTAAGGGACTGAGTTTGTTCACCTCTTCTGAAAAGGGTTCATCAAGCTTTAGGAAAATTTTGTTTTAAAAAATTCGAAATTACGTGAGATTTTGCAATATTAAGGGAGTACGGTGTAATCTTTCTCAAGAGAATCGATTCAGGTATCGACTCAGGTATGTTAAGTTTATCTCTTCTTTCTTTTGGCATGGTCCAAATTATATTGAAGAAACGAGCAAATACACAGTTTTCTATAAATTACTCTATTCATAGAAATAGTAGGGGTGTCTATATTCTTGATTCCCTGTGAGAATTATTATTATCTTTTGTTCATGGGTCTTAGAATAATACGCAGTTGAAAAAGTTTATCCGGAAGGAATATCGAGATTATTATGTATTTTTCATGCATTTCACTCATTTATACATGTGCATTGACCCATGACCAGATGTCGTTATATACGCGTATATATGTAAATATATGTATATGGGATATGAGAAAAGATTATGACATTATATACACACCACCACCTGACCAGCTGGTATACGATGATGATGTTGCCCACAGTGGCTGAAATATGATTCAAACGACGTTATATATGCGTATATATATACGTATGTATGTATATATATATAGGTATATGGGAAAGGTTATGGCGTTATATACGTACCACCACCTGATCAGCTGGTATACGATGATGATTTTGTCCATAGTGGCCGATATGATATGATGAGATACCCTCAGAAGCTTACACAGCAGCTTGCGTAATAACTTACACATCAGCTTGCAGTAATAACTTACACATCAGCTTGCAGTAACAGCTTACACATCGGCTTCCTTTCTTCTATAAATAGAAGAGATTTCAGTTCATTATGTACAACAATTTGAAATAAAATAATATATCAATCTCTCTCTATACTTGTTTTCGATTTTTTTACTTTACGGTCTTTATTTTATAATATTTATATGTAATTGATAAATTGTATATGATTATATAATTAAATTAAAACTTAATTAAAGAGAGTAAATAAATTTTATACGTAGTGTATAGATAGATAGATAAAAATCCCTGCATTAATATCAATTTGAAGCATATGAAAAGTTCTATAAAATAAGAACATATTTCACATGCGCATTGACATTTTCTTTTTCCCAATATGTCGGTCCCTACCAGTAGTTTTTTTCTTGAAAATACAATTTTATTTTCAGGAAAAATGAGAGATTTTTTTGAGTGAACTCTATCTCTTATTCCCAGCCCCTAGCCATATTCGACCATGAAAATACACAGAAACAGTCCCACGCAATTGACAATGCCTTGTAAACTACACTGTAAGCCATAATTATCTCTTCTGCCCACACATCAAGAAAAAAGAATGGTGACATTATTACCTTCTTCATCTCTTTGCAATTCCCCTTCACTTATTATCCATTCCTCAACAATAATCAACCTATGCCTGCCCAATTCAATTCCACTCTCTTCCTCTGGTTATTCCAAGAGAAACAGAAATTCAGTTGCCAGTCGTAAGCTTGGAATCGTTGCTGCTACTGAAGAAGAAAAAGACCCATCAGTTCCCACATGGGCTAAACCCGATTCAGATGAGCCACCCCCTTGGGCTAAAAATGAATCCCAGAAAGATTCTTCAACCTTTCAAGTTCCTTTCATTGTTTATTTGCTTGCTTCTGCTGTCACAGCAATTGCAGCGGTGAATTCTTTACCTTGAACCTTTTTTTTTGATCTTTTAAACAAAGATTAAGTCTTGATGGGTTTTGTTTATTGGGTTATGAGCGCAGATTGGTTCTGTTTTTGAGTACGTGAATCAGAAACCTGTATTTGGAGTTTTGGGCTCAGATAGTGTGTTTTATGCTCCTGTGCTTGGATTCTTTGCTTTCACAGGCATTCCCACTTCTGTAAGTAGATATAGTTTTCTTCTCTATCCATGCGTTCCTGCAGTTTTGGTTAAGCTAAATTGCTTTGAATGATGAAACTAAGAATATGCAAATTTGAACTTTTTGCAAGTTCTGTCTTTAACACACTTGTACATAATGGTAACTACTCCTTATGTTTAAATTATAGGCAAACAACTTCTTTAATAGGGCTGAGGAACCAATGAAAAAGTTTCTTAATGATTGGTCTTTGTTTTGTTAGTTACATTACTACTTCTGGCAAAACAATAAAGGTGGATTATTCTGTGTTCATTTTAGCTGACTAGAATATTATCCAGGCATACCTTTGGTTCAAATCTGTTGAAGTTGCTAACAAGGAAGCAGAGGAGCAAGACCGCAGGGATGGGTATATGTGACGTCTTATATGTGATGTTTAGGTGATATCTGCCGCGTCAAAAATGCATTTATCGGATGTCTTTGGTGGTTGTTTACGGAAAACATCATTATGTTAAATGAATGTTTTGTTGAGTTGATCTTTCTAGGCAACATAACGGTACAAAAACCTGTCTTCTAAATACCTATCATTCCAAATTATCAATTTTGTATTGACTACTTGTCTAAAAGTCTTGGATCACCAGAAGTTACTATTTCCATCTCTTGTTTGGAGAAATCAGTTTACCGACTTGTGGTTAGACAAGCTACTGGCTGAACATTTGACTCAACTTATGTAAGTTATCAACCAGTCTAGTGTTGCTTCTTAACTCTTAACTTATCGACCTTGGTAAATCGCTAACTTTCTATCTAGTCCATCATTAAACAGACTTAAGGAGCATGAGGCTTTCACCTCACAGAGTATTTACTTTAAGTTGCACTCTAATAAATAGAATTTTGAAAAAAATGTATAGTGCTTGCTCTCAAACTAATTGGTTCTTGGAAGGGATGGAAGTGAGCAGTATGAGATGTGACGTCAAATCTTGTAATGGCAGTTCTGTGATTAGAATGGAAAAAGTTAAGTTAACGAGCAGGACTAAGTTCTCCATGTTAGTTCCTCTTTTCTCTCTGTTTCAAGTGTTGTTTATTCCAGATAAAATGTACAAAGTAATTTCTTACAATAAGCTTCTTCCATTTCTCCTGAAGTAGTCAATGTCTGAATGAACTGCTTTTGATGATGGATATGATATATGGGGTTAAAAATAAACACCGGAGCAATGAAGCGTAAGTTTTATGATAGGGACTAGTTCAACTGAAAAGATGTCATTTATAGAAGTCTGAGTTCTTTTGTTTGAAGAGAATAGGATGATTGCACTGTAACCATTAGTCTACACCATTAGTCTATCAAAAACATTTTCTTGAGGTGCATCTTTTCCAAATAACAGTTCGCAAATGTTGGTGCTTAAGTATGTGGAGAATATGCATAGTAAATTGCCATCAGATCAGAATTTAGTTTGCATGAGGCAGCCATTTAAGCGGCTCCTTTGCTGCATGCCTTAATTGCAGGGGCAGGGATCGAAGGGGGCTCTGAATTTCCTTCTTTCCCCACAGACTAAGCTACTATACTGTGCCCCAGGTTAGGATGCCATACTGTGAAAAGAATCCATCTACATCACTATACATTGCTTTTCTCTACATATTGAGCAAAGAGGCTAATCGGATAGAATGAATTCTTATAATTTGGTTTGGATAATGTGCCATCTAGAACAAGACAAAGTGATGCTCTGGTTGCCTCTAATTGGAGCAACAAACAATAGAAACTTACTTTATATTTGCAGTTGGTTGTTGTCTGTATAGTTTGATGTCACCTTCTTGGCGTAAGTAAATCATTCAGAAGAACACCTACCTATGGGCTTATGTTGGTTCTTCTGGGTTTTAACGTATCAGCTTTGTTTTTTCCACGGTTCCACCTAAGTAACTATGTTTCTTGGATCTCAATATTCATCCTTTATGAACTGGGCTCCTACATATTGCTTCCACACGTTACGAGTGTGCGTACAGCTCAAAGCCACACTCCACATTCATTAAATCATGGATTCTCCTCAGTTAATTGAGAGTACTTGTGCCAAGAAAAAGGCTCATGCAGCTTCACAGGAAGAGAAAACTTCAAAGAAACTAGAGCGAGCTCAGTGGCTTCGAGCAGCAATCTTAGGAGCAAACGATGGATTGCTTTCCACTACGTCCTTGATGCTCGGTGTTGGTGCAGCTAAAGATCAAGATCAACTGTCTATGGTACTTTCTGGAGTTGCTGGAGCTTTTGCAGGTGCCTGTAGCATGGCTGTCGGAGAGTTTGTCTCTGTCTCAACTCAACGAGACATTGCAAAGTCCATTGCTGACAACTGTAGGTCAGAGAACGAGCTAAAAGGAGAAGATGGTGGATACAAAACAAAGATTCAGATAGCTTGCAGCAGTCCAACTATTGCAGAAACCAAGCAAGGAGACGCCACCAACATGTCCTTTCGCAATATACTAGCGACTTCAACACAAGGTGGAAAGCTGCTATATGAATCACCTGTGCAAATACAGCACCATATTGCTTTGACACCTGCAAGATCTCCTATGATAAAAGTTATGGAAAATGATGCAAAACGAACGATAATGCAGGAGTCAAAACAGCTGGAAAATGACAGAAAATTAGAGCCATTGCCTAATCCGTTGAAGGCTGCAGCATCATCATCACTGGCTTTTCTGTTTGGAGCCTTTGTTCCTATGGTTCCAGCTCTAGTGGTGAGTGAAAACAGGATCAGGATTGGTGTGATAGTGATTGTAGCATCTTTGGCTTTGTATTTATTTGGTGGAATTGGGGCTTATCTTGGTGGCTCATCAGTAAAGATATCTGCTGTGAGAGCTTTATTTGGAGGGTGGATTTCAATGGCTATCACATATGCTTTACTCATGCCCTTTGACAAAGATACAAAGAATGATAATGATGATTAATAAATCAAATAGCACGTTAATATCGTCAATATTACAACCTAGACTTTGTGATTAATATATATATAGAGAGAGACAATTTTTTTTTTTGGCATATGTAGTTGCTACTCAAATTGAAAACAACGAGTTCAGTTGAACCCACCAAAACCTCCCTAAATTCGCCTCTACTGTTTGTATGTCTCCCAGTGTTACAGGGGACCAAAACCAACTATGCTTACCTTCCTAAAGAAAAATAAAACACGTTTTTGGTCAACGAGGAGAGGCTAACGTTGTTAATTAAAATTTAAAAATATGATAATAATGCATGTATCAATGGAGAGCTGCAAAAGTCCCACAAAGAAAAGGTCAAACAGAGTTACTATTCACTACTTTAAATCTACATCTACAGACCTCCAAAAACACGACCATCAGGTTCAGGTCACTGCCATTCATATCAAAGGTATATTAAGTGAACTTCGTGATCAAATTTCAACTCGATCCAACTGTTAACAAAATGAAAAACACAACATTTAAAGACTACTAGTTGGATGAAAAATATACAAGAAGGAAGAACGTCCCTCTTCCTTCTTTATTTTCTTAAAAGTGCCGCCTCTCTCATCCTCCTTTTGATATGTTGAAAATCCAAGACCTAAACTTACGTCTTTGATGTGACTTTAAACATAAGTGGTCATAAGAAAAGATGGAATTGAATTAGAAATAACTTTTTGTCCGACATAATTTTGTTTTTTAAAAAAAAAGCGCAGCAACCCATCTATACTTTAGTTAATGCATTTATTTGCCTTGTTCAGCACTGATGAAAGACTGGTGCATAACATGGCATCATAAATTGCCGAGTGCTACGCTCCTTGGAAATGGTAGGCATGGGATATATGCACAACCATTTTAGCCAGCTAAGAATGTTGTTGCTGAAGACTTTAGAAGACAATTTGGACAAAGTTGGTTTATTTGAAAAGATATTCTTCACAGATGATATTGTAACTTAAGAAATATGCTTCCTTTCCGGATCAGGAGAAAAAAGAGAGTGAGATATGCTTCCTTCCGCGTCTGTTTGAATTGAATAAGTAATTAAAAAAAATTCTGATAGCATAAATTAATTTTTTTAGCATATTTGATTAAACTGATCAGTTTTAGAAGTAAAAGCTCTAGACTTGACGTACGCTCTGATGTAATCAATGAAAACACGTGAAATATTCCAAAAGCAAAGCAGCCCTAGGATTTTATTGTTGACCATCTTTAGAACTGGCCACCAAGCGGTGTTTGATGTTTTATTTTTGCTGAGTAATTACTTACTAGATGGGATTAATTTGAGAAAAAGAAAATAATCACATACATTGGGTGTATGCATCAAAATAATAATTTTATATTATGTGTTTTGATGTATAATTTGTCACTTAATCATGATAATTGAAGAAGTATTTATATCTTTACCTCAATTTGCATCTTAATCTTAGTAATTAATTTAATATAATTTGATGCATGAACCGGGTTCTATGTTTTTTCTCTTGAATTAAATTAATAATATAAATAATGTTTTACACGTTTAATGTGATTTGATCGATTCTAACATGTCTTGCATTTTTCTAAGTTACCAATGTGTACGAGTAAAATCGGGGATAAAGTTACCCCCGATTTCCCAATGAAGAAATGAGGGACAACGTGATTTGACGTTGGCTCGGGTAAGGCGGAGGGTGCACACAGATCGAAGCCTGAGGGACGAATGATACTTTGGGAATCGGGCATGGCCAAACATGAAAAAAATCAAGCTCGAGCGAAACAAAGAATCGAGGTTAAAGGGAAGACGGTTATAGAGGACGAACGAGGAGCCGAAATATCCGCCATCAACCGGAGATTACGGTGCAGATCACGCCCGATATTAATTGCGGATCGTGTTTTACAGGGAAAAAGGGAAGAAAAGAATTTTTACCTTATTTAGACTTGTACTAGGGTTGAAACTCCCATACTATATAAATGGGGGAACCTTTTTATTTTTTGGGTCACAGTTGGCATGCATATCAAAGCAATAAAGTTTACTTTTGTCTTTTAACAATTGTTCAAGTGTTTTTCAGTTGTTCATTCCTTTAGTTGCAATCGAGCTCCATCTCGAGGGCTCACGGTCGGAACCGGTTTCTAGCATTCAAACCTAATACCATGCTTAATTATTTAATCACATTTGGTTTGATCGTTTTGTTTTCCTTTAATTCAATTACTCGCTGTTCTTAAATCATTCATGTTAAATAAAATCACGTATCCTTTAAATCGCGTATAAAATTTAATTGTTACTCAGGGTAAACAACCAAAGTTATTCTAAACACTATTTTATCTAACAATGATTGTGCAAATGTGAATAAAACTTAAACTGATTGACAATATGATCACAATAGCCAAACAATGACGCAAGCCATATTCCTTGTGAAAGACAAATGTGCACGTAGACGTAACGAGCTATAGGGAGAGAAGAAACCGGCAAGTCGTTGAGATTGATCTTTGTTATCATACTACTGTATTATATAGGCCATGTTGAGATAAGAATCCAAAGGACGGAAAAAGGATTAAAAAAATCTACTAGTCAAAGATCGATGACGGATCATGAGTGTCGACAAAAGAGTATGGCGTGGAAGTTGCCATTTAATAACCCCCAACTCCCCTCGCTTTCACTTTGAGTGACCAGCTTCTATTAAGATCACCAACTGATTCTTTACCAATATTCAAGAACTGCAGTGTCCTCATCTTCAATGTCTCTTCTTTAATTCTTATTCACCTATAGCAGATAAGTCATAAATTTGTGATATATATGCACAAACACTACGTACTTACTCCATAATATAAAGAAGCTAGAGAGGAAAGTAACCCCCAGAAAAGAAAATTCCCGGCTTTTAGAAACAATGAACCGGCTCGAGAATAAAGACTTAACTTGTTCATTGCCTGTTATTCCAAGATTAGATCGACTGGATTTCTTGGTAAGTTCTTTTTTCTGTTTCAACTAAAAATATGTTAATTTGCTTCCCCCTTTTTTTTGATAATTATGAAACTTAATACAATAATCTCTGAGAAGATCAAATTAAAGTGCATACATGTTGTGGTCCATTGCAAGATACGGAACTTTGAGTACCACGTCCGTATTGTAATATGTTGATATGTGGTTTATATAGCCTTGGACTCTCCCATCTTAGTAGCTAACTTTTGGGCTGTGTCAAGAGGATTCAAAATATAGAGTAACATATAAAGGTGCAAAACTAATTTTGTATTATATGCGCAGTATAATTTTTCGGCGAAGGGTTCCCTGAATCAGCCTCTGTCAAGTTCTCCATGGGTTGTATCAATACAAGTCGTGAACAATAGTCTTTCTTATTGAATAAATTAAATGGTGATTATGTACAGCTGCAGCTTCTGGAAGAGAAACATGGGCTTTCTGGAAGACATTCCCTAAATACTGTCGTAAAGAAAGCAGAAGAAGAAGAAGAGGAGGAGGAGACTCAGACTCTGACACTATCCTCTGCTCTGGAACAAGTTCATCTCAAAGGCACACTCATAGAGCGTCTCACAGCGCTCGAGAACCGAGTTTCGCAGGTTACTAGAAGAGTAGGAGATGTAGCTATAGCGTTTTCATATAGATTTGGTTGAAACTTGATTTTTTTTTTTGAAGTTATGTTAAAAAATAATTTTTAGAAATTGATGTTGTGTTTGAACATGTATTTTATTTGAAAAAAAATTTAAGTTTGGTGAAAAATTTTCATCCAAAAACTGTATTAAACCAGATTTTGGAAACTTAAAAACTATATTCAATAAACTGATTATATTCCATGAATAAATAAATAATTTTGAAAAAAATTTGCCAAAAACCTATGATCAAACGGGAGCGCATGAAAAAAAAATCATGGTTACAACTTTTAATAATCACAATCTACTTTATTTGTGCGCAGAATTATTATGGTGGTCATGTTCTTGTGTTTTAAATTTTTCCTTGTAGTTAAGCTTAGAAATGGATGAAGGAAACACGACAAGGTCGAGCTCAACAAAGTCATCAAGGCATGATTCAGTTGCATATACAGCTGCAAGGAGTGAAGAAGATGAAAAGGCCAATCTCCAGGAGAGGCAACTCGAGGTAAACATAGAACTAATTACTAATCAACGCCCATGCTTTGGTGAAGCATATTAATTGGAAAGTTCCTTTAGTTAGTGATTGAGAAAAGTTAGTAATAATGAGAAGAAAAAATAAGTTACTATACCTCATTTTGATAGAATACAAGACACTTGAAATAAAACACGTGTTGCAGTAACTTTTTTCAGCTTTATATAGTTAAATGTTTAAATTTATTAATTTAATTTTTGAAGTCGAAAGCTAAAGTAATAAGTGTCTGTTCAGAAAATGTTATGTTTGTTAAGATAATCATGTATTATTAACCTATATATCTAAAAGTATTCTAACTGAATACATATATCTTCTACATCCAAATTATACACACAATTAGAATTGTTTAACACTTTATATTTCTTTATCACTCTCAAACACTCACATCGTATTCTTGTTGTAATTCAAGTTTTAAAAATCCTGAAAGAATTATGTCATACATGATGCACGCAACTGTAAGTACCATAGTGAGAGCGTAAATTCCCCAAGCATGTTGAATACATTTTCTAACATATTGCAGTTTATACACTCCCTTCGTTCCAGTTTATGTGTACGTATTTTCTTTTTTGTGCATTCCGTAAAGAATGACTCCTTTCTAAATTTGAAAATAATTTAACTTAAACTTTCAATTCTACCTTAATGATAAGCTTTTATAACCACATAAATACTCTAGACCCCCTTTTGACTTGTTTAGGATCACAAATTCCAAATATCTTCTTTCTTTTTACGTACCCAGTCAAACAGGTTCACATAAATTAGAACAGAGAGAGTAATAATTATACTAGCATTAGTTAGCGACTTGTAGTAATTAATGTTAGGTGTTCTTACCATATTTTTTTCTCCTAATTCTTGAAGGAAGAACAATATATTTACCAGAAGATTTTTTCATTTACGAAAAGGAAAATATAATTCTTGCATGTTTGGCTAGTCTTTTTTCTTAGAGGAAAATATTTCAGACTTCTATAAATTGGAAATCCTTCTCATTCAGTAGCATCCACAATGTAGCAATAGGGGGTTTGAGAGTAAGGGTGTTAAACGGGTGGGCCGGGCCGGGTTGCTATTTTTTGGACCCGTACGGGTTACGGTCTGGGCCGGTTACGGGTTGGGGCTTAACGGGTTTAACGGGTTCGGGTTCATCCGGGTAAAAATTGANAGAATTCAAAAAATAATAAAAAAAAAAACCAAAAAAAAAGATTGTACCGGGTCGGGCCGTGCCGGTTTAACTAGTACACGGTACTGTTCACGTGGACCGGGTTTGACCGGTCCGGTTAACCGTTACCAAAATTTAAACGGACCTACCCCTCCTACCCAGCCCCACCCGGCCCCCTATGTACCGGGCTGGTCCGGTTACGGGTCAACCCGACCCATTAAACACCTTTATTTGAGAGTCTTGTTTAGGGGAGAATTTCAGGACAAGTGTTAGCGTACTACTTGTGTTTGCCTCTTCGTGACGTAGGTCAATCGACCGAACCACGTTAAATGTTTGTGTCTCTTTTGATATATTTCTCGTTTGTTGTCTGATTTAACGTCGTTCAATGTTTGCTTTGCTACCTTCCGCATGACACCTGATTATTTCGGTCCTAACAATTAATGGCTACATAAAATTGTTATTTCGCAGGAAGAAGCCTCGACTACTAAAGCAACATCTTTAGCTGAGAAAACAGATCACAAAGTTGTTGGTAATGCTAAAATGAGAAGGTATCCAAGTAAATCCTACAGAAAATGGCTTGGCTGGCTGCATGTGAGATGTTAAAGTCCGAAAATTAATGTATACCTCTGATTTGTTGTTTCATTAAGCTGCTGAAATGCAGGATCGTCGCTTTTGCATGTGACAACATGCTGACATTGAAGAGAACAGAGATCTTATTTGTTTTTACGTTTCAAAGCAATATATACCTGTAGCGGATTATTTGCATAGCGAACCCTCATATGATCAAGAGAAATTTGGGCTTGTAGCTTCAAATGGATTGTATGTTAGTTTGATGCTTGCTTGAATTCGACTCATCCATAGTTGGTTGTGAACTAGTGATTCTTATCCATCATATATATTCAATATTGATCTAGAATTTTACATATTGTTGGTTTGGATTTTTTATATTTACTAGTTTTAGAGCACGTGCGTTGCATGTGTGAATTCCGTCAATTAGTAAAAGTTATATACATAATAAACAAATTATTAGAAATAGTAGTTGACGTTCAAAATAAATATAATATTTGCTTAAATGAATAAAATAAATGTTATTATGTTGACACAATTTTTAAATTCAATATCATCTTGACAAGCGAAGATAATAGAAACATTTAATATGAAAAGAAATTCTTATCATCTTTACCATGACTGAGAACGTTGGTGGTATATGTCATGAAAAACAGAAAAATAAATTTCTTCGATAATAGACTATTTCTTCATAATTTAATTATACAATAAATAAATCAATATTAAAAAATTAAGAAACCGTTGTTGTTGGAACAAATTCCAAGAGAGAGAAAATAAACAACGGGACAATTCCAAATAAAATATAAATTCATTATCCTAAGAGTTTTGTCAACTTAAAAATAATTTTACCAATATGTTGAATTTCAAAAAGAACTGAATATGATTATTTAGCTAATTTGTTAATTCAAAACTTGATTTTTATTTTCAACATTATAGGAGATCATTTCTTTTATTGACTCAATTTCTTAATATTAGTTCATCCCAATTTTTAAATATTCAGCGGTAAGTTATAATTTCACCCGCTAATACATTTATCTCATAGGATAAAATAATCGATCTAATATTTTTATCTTTTGAATCTCTGTATTTGCAGAATCATTAGTATTATTGACTCTTGCCAACTACTTTCTTGATTTCTCTGTCTCTCGCTTTTTAAAGTATTTTCTTAGTTATTTGTTTTATTAGTTTAATTTTCAAATATCTTTTTTCAAAAAAATATCAAATAGAAAAATATTATTTGTGTAGAAAAATAGTTCAAATATAATACAAAAAAATATATTATAGTTCATATCTTGTACTGATATTACCGACTATTAGTATTTCTTTCATACTCTCTTTTACTATCTTGCATTTCATTTTCTAAATACCTTGTATTGTTATTACTTGCTATCACTACTTCTTCCATCCTTTTTTTAGCCGAGAGTATATTGAAAACAGTCTATCTGCCTGTCTAGGGTAGGGATAAGGCTGCGTACATCCTACCCTTTCCAGACCCCACTTGTGAGAGTACGCTGGATTGTTGTTGTTTTGTTTGTTGTAGATTATAGTTCATACATATAGTTGGAATGTAACTTGAAGGGAATTAAAGTTATGTTACATGTTCAAACATAAGAGTTTATATTTGATAATTAAAATATGAATTGATTATGAAATTTAATTAATCCTAGTATAGTTCAACAAGAAAATATTTAACAAAATTTTAAGGTGATTTTGAAAAGGGAATAATTTTGTAAAGATTTATAACCATTATTCACGTATAAAATTGTATACCGTTTATCTATGAAAAGTTTGCTTCGTATATAGAGTCATGGTGGATATGTTTACTACTTCTGGAGGAATTAAACTTGAAAAATAATAATCTGATTGTACTCTTTTTTTCATCATTGATCTTTTTACACTTTTTACAAGAACTAAACTTGAGAAAATAATTGGGGGATTTGCGGCCGTACCTTGTATTTGTGCCACTTTTTAACTTATACCCTATTTTTAAAAATTATTGATTTGGTAGCGAGTTGATAAAAAATCCGTAATAATATGACACTTACATCCCTGATAAATCGCGTGATCTGCAACGTCATTCATGAAAAAAGATCTCCTCATCTCCTCTCAGCAGCTTTATCAAAAAACCACGAACTTCATGCTAATGTAGCATGAAGTTGTTTCATGTTGAAGCTAAAACTTCATGCTAATATAGCATGAAGTTGTTTTACATTGAAGCTAAAACTTCATGCTAATGCATGCTGAAGTTATTTGTCCTTCACTCTATAGTTTTGTCATGAGTGCTGAAGTTATTTAGTTCATTTGTTAAAACATCAGTTTAAACATGCTGAAGTTATTTAGTTCATTTGCGAAAACTTCAGACTAAACATGCTTAAATTTTTGTCTTGTAGTATGTAATTTTCTAATGAGTTTTTGCTAATGCATGCTGAAGTTATTTAGTTCATTTGCTAAAACTTTAGTTTAAACATGTAAAGTTATTTAGTTCATTTGCGAAAACATCAGACTAAACATGCTTAAGTTTTTGTCTTGCAGTATGTAATTTTCTGATGGGTTTCTGCTAATGCATGCTGAATTTATTTAGTTCATTTGCTAAAACTTTAGACTAAACATGCTTAAGTTATTTAGTTCATTTGCTAAAACTTCATGCCAAAACATGCTGAAGTTTTGTCCTGTTGTCACGATCCGGATTTTCCACCCTCGGGAGTTGTGATGGAGCCTACTAATGTGAGCTAGGCAAGCCGACTGTTTGGACAAATTACCCTTTTGCCCATTTAATATTCTTTGACAATTATAAAGCAATAACATGTAGACAACGGAATTTACAATAAGCGGAAGGAAAACAATAAATTATCTGAATATGTATCCAAAACAACTATTTGAGCATCGACTACCCAGAACTGGTGTCACAGTTTCACAGACGATCTAGGAATACTACATACAAAGTTTGAAAGATAAAAGATACACTGCTTTTGAACTAAGCAAATGAAACAGGAGTAAAGGGATAGAGGGAGACGCCAGGGCCTGCGGACTACCTTGGATCTCCGTATGGACTTAAGGCAACCACTCGATCTACAGTCCAAAAGCTGCTACTCCGGGATCTGCACACGGTGTAGAGTATAGTATCAGCACAACCGACCCCATGTGCTGGTAAGTGCCTAGCCTAACCTCGGCGAAGTAGTGATGAGGCTAGGACCAGACTACCAAATAAACCTGTGCAATTAACTATATACAACGGAAAAGAAGAACAATAATATACAGTCAAGTATGGCAGGGGTAACATTCTGCGGGGAACTATCAATTTAGAATAGAAAGACAACGAGTAATTAAAAGAGACAACATATCTCAGATATCAACAAAGAGTCAGGAATCAATAAGTGCACGGTATCTCCCTTCGTGTTTTTACTCTCGTCCTCACTAAAGCAATCAAGTAATGAAAAATGTGCACGGCATCACCCTTCGTGCTTTTACTCTCTACCTCACCATATAATCAATATAATCGGCACAGAATGGTACATCGTGCGGCACGACATCACCCTTCGTGCTTTACACTCTTTCCTCATAAATCATACACGGCATCACCCTTCGTGCTTTTACTCTCATCCTCACCAAAACAATCAAGTAATGAAAATGTGCACGACATCACCCTTCGTGCTTTAACACTCTTCCTCACCCAAACAACAATCACAAACAATAGGGCAAGGGAATAAATGAAATTACAATAAGAATCACGGCAAGGGAACAATAGTTCAAAAATCAAGTCCCGACAAGGGAACAACATCATAAGAAGCATCAACATCCCGACAAGGGAGATAACATTAAAAGCAACAATATCCCAGCAAGGGAGATAATATAATGATTCTCTTCTATTTTTTCACTTTTACTTATCAACTCACTTTACAACTTGAGCCAATGCTCTAAAAAGTTCAATTACCAATTATACTTTCACATTTCATTATACAACTTGAGCCAACGCTCCTCAATATTCAAATATCACAATTACTTCCACAAACTTTGCGCAACAATGGAAATCATCACCAAAGCATGAAGTATACAACGAAGTCATAATAACTACAATATAAGACTCACGGGCATGCTTGGCACTAACATATAGATACTCGTCACCATGACTATACGTTGTACTCGGCAAATACCACATAGCAAATAAGACTCGACTCCTAATCGCTCAAGCTAAGGTTAGACCAAACACTTACCTCGATGCCACAAACACAATTCAAGTCTCTACTATCGCTTTACCTCTTGATTCCTCCACCAATTCGCTCGTATCTAGTCATAAGTTACTTAATTACATCAATAAATGCTAAATGAATCAATTCTAATGCATGAAAATGAGTTTTCTAAAGTTTTACCCAAAAATTCAAAAATCACCCCAAGCCCACATGGTTAAAACCCGAGGTTCGAACCAATACCCGATTACCCATTCCCCCATGAACTCAAATATATAATTTGTTTTGAAATCGGACCTCAAATCGAGGTCCAAATTCCCGATTTTTGAAAAAGCTAGGTTCTACCCAAAAAACCCAATTTCCCCCATGAAAATCATTGATTTTGAGTTGAAATCATGTGAAAAGATGTTAATGATTGAAGAAAACGAGTTAAAATTGACTTACAATCGATTTGGAAGAAGAGTTGTCTTTGGAAAATTGTCCAAGAGTGTTTTGGTTTTGAAAGAGTGTGAAAAATGAAAGATTTTTGGCTAAGTTATAAAATTGCGGGTTGAAGATGCCGTAATTACGACCAAGGTTCGCAATTGCGGACCCTGACTTCTGCTAAGCTCGCATTTGCGAAACAACTTTTGCATTTATGAATTGGGAATCGCGAAAAACATGTTGCATTTGCGACGACTGGCTACAAACTGGGGGATCACATTTGCGATAAATCCCTCGCATTTGCGAGGTAGGCTGGCCTGGGCTATTTTCGCATTTGCGAACAGGCCTACAATGCAATAGCTGAAGTCTGCAACTTTTCAAGTCCAAAATCCACCCCGTGGCCTATCCAAAACACACTCGAGCCTTCGGGGCTCCAAACAAACATGTATACCAACCTAAAAATATCATACGGACTCGCTCATGCATTCAAATCACTAAATAACATCAACAACTGTGAATTTAGCATCAAAAATCATGAAATTTCTTAAAAACTTTAAATTTTCAAAATATTTCTCAAATACGATCTAATTCACGTCATCTCAAGTCCGTTTATTACCAAATTTCACAAACTTATCTTAAATCACATATAAGACCTGTACCGGGCGCCGAAACCAAAATATGGGCCCGATACCATCAAA